CAACCCTCTCTTGAACAGAACTCTGAAGGCCCCCTTGGGCACCTCCGGTGACGCCGGGTAAGAGCCCTTTGTGTTGCTGGCCGTCCAGGAGCCGGGGGGCGTCCAGGAGTCCAGGGCAGTGTGGGGCGGCAGAGGCTGTGTCTTACGGGTGGCAGGGACCCTCGCCCAGTTCTGTATCTCTTTCAATAAAGCCCCTGCTCTGTGCACCCAGCCGTGTTGCAGGTTCTCTCACAGGCTGGGTATCTTCAGACGGGACGTGGGTGGCTCAGGCACACCCTATGCCGGCCAGTGCCAGGCCCGGAGGTAGGTGTGCAGCCCAGGGGGGTTATTTTTAGTTGGAAGCTAATTAAAGAAGGGCTTATGCACGGGGTTCAGCGCCAAGGAGCCCTGCCACATTCCAGGAGGCTCCTGTTTCCTTCTGGGGAAAAGCTTGCTCCCAGTACTCCTGGGAGGGCAGAGTTCACAGAGCTGGGAACACCGGGCAGTGTGGTTTCCGTTTACTTTTTGCCCGTGCCAGGCCCTTTTCACAACTGCTTTCCATTCCTCCTAGCAGCCCAGCTAGATGGGTATCCCCATTTTAAAGGTAAAGAAACTGAGGCCCGAGGTCACACCAGACCTGATGATCCCAAAGCCCACGCACTCTCTGTGATACCAGGTGGCCTTAGCACAGAGGGCCCACGAGGGGAGGCTGGTTCCAGAGACCAGGACAGGTGCTGAGCCCCCTCGGATGGGCAGGTCTGTCCTCCAGCTCATCCTTCCTTCTAGACCAGTACCTCTGAGGGATCAGCTGTGGGCAAGCCTGGTTCGAGAGCCCCAGGGAAGCAGGCGGACGGGCCTGGGCTTGAAGCCGGGGGCGTGAGGAAGAGGTTTCTGAGATGCCTCCTAGCTCAAATGTTTTTCTTTTCTGTCCCTCCCCTACCGCTCCCTTACTGCTGTGTGGTCTCAGGCCTGTGGATTACACTCTCTGATCCTCATTCTGAATATATATGACATGGGAATACTAGAATTAACCTCAGGGAGCCGTGGTGCTGCGCAGTGCCTGGCACACAGCAGCTGCTCATCAGTAGCAGCCGTTTCTGTTACTCTGGGCTGCACTCTGGCCCCCTCGGTGTGGGCTGGGCAGGCGGATGGGGGAGGCGGGGGCAGGACACTGTCACACTGTTCTTTCTCCAGGCGTCCACCTTCCAGGACCCCAGAGCCCTGTCCTTCCTTCTGCTGAGGCGGCTGGTGCAGAGGGAGGAGCCCGCAGGGGGAAGGGAGGACCAGATCGGGCATCAGGGGAGGCGGTTGCCGGTCTGCACCATCCTGGGCAGGTCTCGCCTCTTCTCTGGGCCCTGGTGTTCCCATATGTGTGAAGAGGGCTGATTTCTTGGGTGCCCACCCAGGTTTGACCTTCTAGGATTTCAAAGCCTAGGGCTGTTGGGCCTGTGTGTTGGGGTCTCCAGGGGGTGGGAGGCTGTCATGTTGGAGGAGCCTTGGAGGGGAGCCTTGGGGGAGTCAGGGCCATCCTCGTGGGGTGCAAGTCCCAGAGCCACTGTTGTGATCCCTCCCTCACATGAGTCTCCAGGGAAATGCTGGGTCAGAGGACCACAGAAGGCAGAGGAAAGAGGTGGGGTTGGGGCTGTGGGACTCAGTGGGAGAGAGGAGGGGGTCTGGGAAGAGGGTCTTGTTTTGTGGGCTCAGTGGGGCCTGCTGAATGGGTGGGTGGCCCCCCTTTGTTCCCCCACCTCAGAGCCCTAGGGAAGCCCTGAGCCGGAGCTCCCCCTGGGAACTACCTCTGGGGCACATTAGAACCACAAAATCCCGGTGTCCAGGCTGCAGCTGTACTTGTCATCTTAGAAGCCAGGTGACACCCAGGCATCACACGAGTCATCTGGAGGTTGTGCTAAATCGCAGACTTTACACCAGTAGGTCTGGGTGGGGCCCTGAACTCTGCATTTCCAGCCAGCTCCCAGGTGAAGCTTCGGCTTCGCCCCATGGCCATACTTTGAGTAGCAAGAGGCCAGAGCAGGAGCTGGCAAAGTGCGGCTCCTCACCTGTGTCTGGACAGCCCATGAGTTCAGAGTGGTTTTCACGCATTTATTTATTTGTTTTTAATCTTCACCTGAGGCTATTTTTTCCATTGCTTTTCAGAGAGAGAGACACAGATGTGATACATACTGATCGGTTGCCTCCCACGTGCGCCCTGACCAGGGCTGGGGATCGAGCCTGCAACTGAGGTACGCGTGCCCTTGGCCAGAACCGAACCCGGGACCCTTCAGTCTGTGGGCTAACACTAACCACTGAGCATACCAGCCAGGGCTCACATTTTTAAATGGTTAAAAAAAAAAAATCAAAGGAAGAATAACACTTGTGACACGTGAAAAGTGCCTGAAATTCAAATTTCCGTGTCCACAAATAAAGTCTTACTGGAACAGCGCCACGTCCGCGTCTCAGGCTCTCGGGCTGCTCTCACTGTGGGGCAGAGGTGAGTGGCTGTGATGGAGGTGACGGTCCCCAGAGCCTAGAGCCTTGATTACCTGGCCTCTGCAGTCAAGTTCACCGGCCCTGGGCCATAGCACATGAGATCTGAGTTCGGGGCGTGGAAGTGCAGAGCGTTCTTGGAACAGCCTGAGCCAAGCCAGACAGTGTAGGTGCCTCAGAGAGGGCGAGCCCCCGGCCCCCTCCTGAGGACCTCCAGCCCCTGGCTTCCTTCTTGGGCTCTCTGTGGTCTGGCTCCTGCTCTGGAAGCAGCTTCTCTCCCTTCTCTCCTGGCCTCCGTCTTATCAGATCGCCCCCATCCTGGGGACCTTGGCCCCACATTGTTTTCTCAGACTGGGGCGAATCTGACAAACTTCCCATAACCTGTTCGTTCCTATGGAGAGAGAAAGCTTGTTTCTTGGAATCCCAGGACATCCAAGTGGAAGGAAGAAGGGTATCTTCTAGTCCCCCCCCCCTGCAAGGTGTTGACAGGAAAAGGTGGCTCCAGGTCACACACAGTTGAATGAGGGGGATTAATTAAAGGCCTGAAGGTCCCCCAGATTGAGGGGTCCACTTTGTTCTCATGAAGTTGGGAGCACATGATGATTGCCATCTTGAAGACAGAGGATTGTGACTGCGTGACTCGTGTGTAAATAAATCATGCAGTGAGCTAGTTATCCACAGTTTTACAGATGGGGAAACTGAGGCCCAGAGAGCAGAAGCAACAGGCCGGTGGCAGAGGAAGGCGCTATGCCCGTGGCCTGCAGCCCACCCTTCTCCAGGGCCCGATGCTGACCCTCTTCCTGCCCCCATCAGGACCTAACGCCCACAGGCCCACCCGTGTTTGCTCCAGCTTCCTGGGAGCTGCAGGGTGCTGTCGCCGGACCCCTCTGGAGGCACCCCTGCAGATGGACTGGTTCTGGCCACGCTGTTTTTTAAGGAAAGAAGGGGAAAGAAACATTTTCTTGGCCGAGCAGCTTTGGGCCAGATGCTCAGGCCATGTGGAGTCAGGATCCAGCCTGGCAACTGTAGGAGGTGTCTGGAGCCCGGAACCCGCCCGCTGGGGTCTGGAGGCACCACATCCAGCAATGAGATGAAATGCCCAGGAACGGGGAAATCTGTGACCTGGGGTTATCTCACACACTCCTGGGGACACGTGAGAGAGGCAGAGAAGACCCTAGCCACTGCCCAGGTTAGGGTAATGGGTGAGTGTCCCTGACTTGCAGGGGTCCCGCTCATGGGCGAGTGTGGGTGCTAAAGGGGCAGCGTGGGGAATGGTTTTGAGGCTGGAGCCCTTGCCTCCCCCAGCCCCGGCTGTGAAGGGGCTGCCTGATCCTGCTAAGCCCCAGCCAGGCTCTGGCCTCCCCCCCCGCAGGAGGATCATTAAATGCCTCCCCAGCCCCCGACATCTCCCTGGGTGACGAGGGACAGGTGCATCCAGAGAGGCGTCCCCCGTCTCCGCCCGTGAGCAGACAGCTCCCTGCACTGTAACATGGGGCTCCGCCTGGCAGCGGCTTTGAAAGGGGGTTTCGGACACAATCTGGGGTGGACCCCCCCACCAAATGCTTTTCTCTCCTTGTAGCAGCTTGAGACGTAGCTACAGGGATGCTGAGGGTTCCAAAAGGAAAAATAAAACAAACAGAAGCAAGAGTGGGGGGACTCTGCCCTGTCATGCTGTAGCTTTGAGGCTCTTGTCATCAGCCAGCCAGGCCCAGTGCCCGGGCCGCTGGAATGGTGACTTCCTGTCCCTCTCCACACAACCGGCAGAAGGTAGGACTGCTTTGGCTTCAGGTGGTGAGACCCTTGCATCTTGGAGTCCCCGTAAATTGCCTGTGGTCACACGGCTAGAGAGAGGCCAGCCTCAGAGAGTGAGCTGGGAAACCATCTATCTAAGTCCAC